TAGAATCAGTAGCATGATTCCACGCCAGTTCTTGCAAGGACTTAGGTCACCCTTTTTTGGGAGTTTGACAAGGTAGCCATACTTCCAGTCGCCACCCACCTTTCTTTCCTGCCTTCCAAACCACCCAATGAGGTAGCTGTGTGAGCATGTCCACTGTTTTCTCTGCGTCTGCTCTCAGTGCTTCTGGCGGGATTCCATCCATTACTGCTGCTCCCCGAATCTCAGCAGTTTCATGGCATTCAGAACTTCTGCTTTCATCAGAGGGCCTGTGTTCACTGGTAGTTCTGCCTTTGCTGGGGGCATTTCTGAACGAGTTGCAGATGGTGGTGTTGGTCGACTCAAGAATTTTTGAAGTGGTCAGCCCATTGTTTCTTTTTATTCTCCTCTTTGGTAACTAGCTTCTGCTTCACTATCTTTCATTGGTTTCATCTGTGTTGATCTCTTCCCGGATAGTAATCTGGTTATTTGATACAATGTTGTCAGGTCTGTGTCTCTTCCACCTGCAGTCTGTTCTGCTTCACTTGCCTGCCAGTGTGTCGTAGAAGTGTCTTTTGTCTTTCCGCACACACTATTCTTCACTCCTTTGTCCAGTGTAGTGTTTTTATAGATTGTTTTTATTCCCGCTTTTCGTTGTGCATCCTTGCACTGGTTCATCTTATGCTTCACCACCCTCCTCTCTTCTCTCTATCAGCTTCCTTGTGTCAGTCAAGATCCATTCCTTGTCTTGTCTTCCTTCTTCTTCCTTCTTAATACGGTTGTGCACGTTTCTTTCTACATCCCTTTCAAAGAGTTCCAGTGTTCTTTCACGCCCTATCCTTGAGGGATGTTGCTCGATATCTCCCATTTTGTCTTGATGGCTGACGTGAAGATTTCCTCTACAGTTTCGTCCTTCGATTCAGTTTCCTTTCTGAGTGTTGAACTTGAACTGTGGTCTATCATCAACTTCTTTGAAAGCTTTCTACTTGATTTTGATGGTAGGTTTCTTGCACTAACTAGATAGTGAGTGGTGTGAATCTACCTACACCTACTCCTCTTCTTCATCTTATGTCCAATGGGCTGCGTCTCCACTTTCTTCACATTCAAATGAAATCGATCTGATTTTTAGTGTGTCCATCTGGTCAAGTCCATGTCGCTTTGTCAATATCCTTGTGTTTGTACACACTGTCTCCAATCACCAAATCGTTGAATGCACAGAAATCTGCAAACACTTCTCCGTTCTCATTCCTCATTTCACCGAGTGCTTCTCCATCCATAATTCGTTCTCTTCCTGTGTTGTCCACTCTCAGTTTGGCATTCATGTCACCCCACCCAGTAGAATGGATTTTGATGTCTCCAACTGGAGTTGGATCTTGTCCAGTATTGATGGTTGTAGTTGTGCGTAGAATTTCTCCTTCTTCTCTTGATCTACATTATTTGTGGGTGCGTGACGTAGTATCGTATGATTGTGACTTTTCTTCTTTTTGATTTGAATCTTGCTGTCATGATGCTGATACTGGAGGAGACTGGTTGCCACTGCATGAGAGAGAGCCTTCGATGTTCTTGAGGAAATCATGATAGCCACTCGAGTACTGAGTGTGCTTGTGATTGTCATCTGGGTGACAATATCGGAGTAGATTATTGACTCTCCAATTGATAGTCTGGAGAGTTCACTTCCATCCCATCTGCTGATTCCTCGCAGATTCCAAGCACTTCCGTTCCATACCTCCTCATCTCTTTTGCGATCTGGGCCGTCTTGCCAGAGAGAGAAGACACACCGACCGACTGGCTTCCCGAAGTCTTCCATCAACCGGCGTCATTTCGTCTCCCCGATTCCAGTGAGGAATAGGTTTAGTTTTATGCTTGATATTTTCTTTGTGCTTAGAAGTTTCTTTAGGGATCGGACTTCTGGGGTAGGGTTGCTAGCCCTATGCCCAATCTTCCTTCTTTACCCAGGCTTAGGACCGGCTAGTAACTAGTGAACTAGTTAACCAGGTGAGGTTAGATTTGTTCACGTTCATCCATTAATTCTGTTGAGATCCACTAACGCTTTCTAACTGCTTTGTGACAGTCAGCTATGGTCTTCAGCACTACTCCTTTTACTATTTCCCAAGGCATTGTGCATTTCTCAATACCGAAGTTCGGTAATCCTACTGCTTTCTAAAATTTAATTCATATTAGCTTTTTTTAACACTGACAAGAAAGCAACCCAGTATAATGAATTCACTGTATTCTGAAATACTTATTATTTTGGTCTTATTTAAACTAAAACGCTTATCACATACAAGTTATATTCATATAAATCTCAGAATGTAGAAAATAAGATCATTTCAATTACTTCTGGAAGTGTCGTCTGAGCTTATTTATGAAAACAGTGAAAATTAAAACATCAGAAACAGATTGATAGGCTCAGAAAAACGTGTTTCATTAATATAGGTTTAGAATTTAATTCCATATTAGATTTCTTTATCTGATTTATAATACACAGTGAAATATTATTATTTACTTGATGACAATCCTACCATAAGTTATTACTCATAATCATATCAGTGTAACCACACAAATTCTGATGTCTGACTTACGTCATATTATTCTTTTTTAGTAGTATTAAAATCTTCCATATCTCTGATATAGATGTTGCTTCATTTCTATTACATGTGTTGATTTGATGAACGAAGATTCAGTAATGTCTCTCTCTCTCCCTCTCCACCCAATTATATTGGACTTAAGTACAGTGGTTTTATCCCACCCTATTGTGTGGTTGCGTGTTAATGCATTCACTGCAATAGCCAAGTTTTTCCTAGATTACTGATCTTATTGGGGTCTGCCATTCTATGATTAGCTAAATTCCTATGTTCAGCTATTCTAAACAAACTTAACTGGCTAGTTTGACACATGTTCTTGACCTCACAGTCATTACATAGAATTTTATAGATTAGGTTACTAAGTTTAATTGGTTCTGTTGGATCCTTAAGCCAACAAAGCTTATCTCTGAGTGAGTTCATAGGTTTAAATGCCACCCTAACGTGTACTTAATCTCCTTGTCCAATCCTGTTTAATGCAGAGTTGCTACCTCTTCGCTCATTGTCCAATATAGATATGAAAATATTCGGTTAAGTTTTGATCAAAGTTCATATAAATCAACAGTCATTGTTAAGACAGCCAATCCGACTGAATATACATACTGGCCAGCCAACATAGACCACTTAAGTTGGAAATATTAATTCTTCAAATTACGGTTTGAATAATGTATTGCTTTTGTTGAAGTGTTTCGAGTTATTTTCATCCGTTATAATATGGGAACAATTTAATTTAGAAATTCCAAATTTTCATTCATTTGAAAATTGATTGCTTTAGGTAACCTGATATGTTCATTTTCAAAATTCCTATATTAGTTGACATGTTACTTTTAAAGCTATCTAGTAGAAGATTAAATTTTTCTTCACAAAAACAAATGATGGTCGCTTTAAATGAATTTAAACACTTGACTGAAGTTGAAGGAAGTCTGCAGTACAAGGTTGTAGTCACGTGTAGTACAATATTTACTACAGAATTCCAAGAGATTATTTGTGATATAGTGGGGTTATTCGCCAGGAACTGACTGACTTCACAGCAATTTGCATTCTGAATCGATATCGGGGACAATGAATAGAAAAACCCTTAACTTTGCTTCCTTAGAGGTCCGTAATTATTCATCTGGAGCACCAGAACAACTCATGAGTTAGATATGATCTTAATTAAATCGAATATGCCGGGACCAACTTACAGCGTGGAGGGTACCTGGTTAACTTGAAGTATACAAACGATAGCGTTCTGTAACGTCTAGACCAAGAAACTTCATTTTTATAACACTGAGTGAAAATATGAACATGTTTGCCATTCACTTCGCACCTGTCAAACAAAAAGTGGTATTTCAGAATTTAATGAATTACTTTCAGTAGTACTTGACGTATCTAAATGCACATATCCATCCAAATGTATATACAGAAGCAAACACATTGGTCGTATGGAGAGGCATCTGTCTTCTCGCGTGGTTTAGCACCTACCCAAATGGTTGAAGTGTACCGAGGAGCTCGGTAACGAAACACCTAATGGATCATAGGCATGCCAGTGATACCTTTAAGGTTATCAGTAGACAGCAAAATAAGAAATTGCTTGAAAGTGCAAAAACTTGTGCGATTCGAGTTGTCAAACGGAACCTCTGCATTCACAAGGAATCTGTCATGATAAGAATTACAACATCGTCTAATAATATTAAATCTTGCTTACTTGTTCCTTGCTCTCAACTACCACCCCTATCCTATATTTTTGTTTTCCTTTTTCGATTTACGTCGTCTAATTAACCTTATTCTTAATACCATTGTTATTACTACTATTCATCGCAATACCCACCTGGTTTTCTTACAATGTCTGCTTAAGTACTATTAAAGTATGTTGTTCTGAGTGACGTAATCTGCTCTCAATCGGTTCAGTTCTCATCCCCATGTCGTTGTCGTTATTTCCCTACTTGGAATTCACATGACTTCCTAGACTGTACTATCATCCAAATTCATAACTCACTATGCAACCTATCCCCAACATATTCAGTCTGAACAACCACTTCTACTATGTGCATTACCACCTGACCTATAAAAACTGTTTATTCCCATTATCATTTCGACTATCTGAGATAGCTGTGGTTTGAAAGATTAGTATTGATACTGGATGATGACTGAAGGTGAAATAAAAATTTGGGTCACGGCAGGATTTGAACCAGCGACTACCGGGTTTCCTACCCGGTGCTCTACCAACTGAGTTACAACACCTAACTGCTGATCAGAGTTTTATTCCACTTCATTTCTGCATTGTTATACCTAAATCGATGTCTCAGTCTATGTTATATGTGTTCTTTTGCATTGTATAATGACATATGTATTCAAGCATGTAGAGTATGTAGCTGACGATTACTACTGAAATTTATGAATCCATTCGTTGCTTGTTTTTATAAAATATGAGTATGGCAAGCGAAATAAAAACGAAGACGTTTGTACCCCTGCTCCAAAAGAAGATTTATTGTTCATTACTTGCAAATAAGTGAGGTGAATAATTTTCAATAGTCATATAAACGTAAAATGAACAATAAAATGTATAGTCGAAAGAAAAATACAACAAAGAGGAACGGAATGGTAACGAGCAAATTAAAAATAACAACTAAAGAAGAAGAGTGATTTTCTAAAATAACATCCCATAATATACAAAATATGGTTGAAAAGACCACGACATGTTTACACAGTAGGACAGGATGTAATATAAATTGACACAGTAGAAATGTGATAGAATAATAGGCACAGAATCAGACTGATGTCAAACATTAATTAATTTGCTAAAATTATCATCTAATCGGTTGAAGCGATGGCAATTTATAAGTCTCTGTCGCATCATCACTCCTCATTTTATATTCGCTCAAAAATGATTCACAAAATTATATGGATCTATTAATTTGATTAGTCTCGTTTTTTTAGGTGAAAATCAACACAATGAGTACTTGAGATATAATTACAAATACACGAGAGCAATATCACAGATGTACATTTTTTTAAATCTATGCACAATGTTGTATCTTTGGAAAAAAAAGTGTAGGTTTACTCTGTTGGAGATAGGAATGTGAAGCAAAAGCATCTACACCCGATTGTCAACAGTGACTATCCCAATGTTAGTCAGCTGACTTTTACTGAGGTCACCATTAATGATCGGTGCAATTTAGTATTTTGGTTCATGGCATTCAATCTCACCATTTGTAGTTGATGGATTCTTCTTTCGTTTACTAGGCGGTACTAAGTGATCAGGTAGACACATTGGTAACTCAGCACCACTTACGGCTAACTTCATCAGGTAATTGGCAAGTATAAATTCATCAATATCCAAGTGACCATCCTCATCGATGTCTGCAAGTTTCCATATGCGATGTAATGTGAAGTTGGGCAAATGAGACTGTAACATGTACAGTTTTACTGCATCACCAGAAAGACGATTACCAATTGGATTAAGAGCGACAAATTCCTGAAATGAATTAAAAGTGAAACAGTAATCAGCAATTATCGAGAGTTGAGTGAGTGGGAATTTTTATTATACTAATATCCTAGATTTCAACTTTAATTTCTCATTTCGATGTCCAGAATGAAGATCTGAAATATATCCGTACAAAACCCTTTCACATCATCCCACTATGGTTAAAAGGGATTAGAATTCTGTCTGTTTACCAACTGATTAGTTAACACTTTCGGTTTAATAGTTCAAACCATTTCCTGTGATGTGGTCTCCTTTTACGAATAGTGAATATCTTACAATTGCTGTGTGTGATAAAACTTTGGAATAAAGTGGTTATTATTATTATTATTAACTTTTATAACGTATAACATACGAGTCTTTTTCTAACACTGCAATGCAATAGCTGTTACCTTGATGTGGTGGTCAGGCTTGCATATCACAATGACCCAACGAGCTATGCTAGTAGAACGCCTGTTCCCTCGAGATCCTATCATGCCAGAAATGTCCACTGGATAGTGGTAAGACGACAAGCAGCTACCGCTGTGGTGTAAATTACTATACTATGATAGGGGTCTGAGGGTGAAGTCACACTTTTGATAGCTGGATGGGGTGTGACAGCAGTAAGGTATTTCCCTTGGATAACCAGCAGTGCCACGCTGATGATGCCTTTCTTATAGGAAGGTGGATTAGAAAAGGTCGGCCGCAAAAAATAGCACACTCCCACCCCCTGGCAGCATCCCAATGCCTAAAACAGGGATTTATAGTTAGATTCAAAAGTGAAAAAACAAAATCTGAAACTTGCCAAAGAACCGTCTGCGACCGACCTCGATCAGATGTCCCATGGGCTTTGCAGTCATGCACTATCTTTTTTTCCAGGTACTTCAAGAACTAGCCTTCCACAGTGTGGGCAGCCGAGAAGTGTTAACTGCCAGCACGCTTCCAGTAGTAGACAAAGCCCAAAGATTCTAACTGTAATGCAACCACAACAATGATCTATAGTTAAATGCCAAACTGTTTCTCTCTAAGTCTCGCGTGAGTCTACCGTCCATTCTTTTGATTTTATTCAGTTTGGGCTACGAACAGTCACTGATCGATCATAGTGAGCCAATAGTGTCAAAATCGTAAGCTAATTATTTTGTTCGACTACCCGGTCTAGTGGATATTGCATTAGGCACTATCACTCCTATAAAATCCACACACACACGTGCAGAGAGAATGAGAGAGATTACGGTTACTGTTACAGTAAAAAGCATAAAAGTTTGAAAATCATTGTCTAATACCTTGCTGAAAATGTAAATAAAAGCAGTTCTCTCGTTTATTTTGGCAAATAAATATCACCGAACTAACAGTTTATGTAAGTAGGCACAGAAAAATACGAAAATCTTAATTTTAGGAATGATTACCCTGTAGGTTAGAGATGTTCAGAGGATTCAAATTTGCCGAAATCAGGAAATACTAAAGTGTAGTTTTAATAACCATCACAGTCAATTTTTTTTACACAAATTAGTAATCCTTAAAATCTGATTAATTTGAAGACAGTTTGCATCAACACTACCGAATGTGAAGCCGAATGCTGCAATTACTCTTGATATAGAATTCTAAACTCTTACATCTGAAGTGAAAACTTTGAACTGAAGTCAATCAGTTAAATGTTAACATTTTTCAACTTAAGTAAGTTTGTGGTGTAAAGAGATTTCTTAACAATGTCGCCAAAATGTCCACTTTTAGTCACAGGTAAGTTGACTACGCGAGTTTGCTGAGAGGCTGTGGATTCAATCTCAGAATAAATTATTGGTATGTGTTGCTAGGACGTCCATGACAGAGGTAAACACGTTTTTGATTGCTGTTTAGCACTGTAGTTCTTTAACCTATACCGACAGGTAATGAAAACTAAATCTATATACCTTTATTCACTACCCTGTTTTATTATTTAGAATTTGTATACATAACTCTCAGCTACAATAAATCAATGGTATGCAGAAAATATAAATCATGAATATTATAAACTTGTAAATAAACCCTCGAGTGAATAAAAGATATGAAAGAGCTTACTTCTTCCCACTGTTTTCGATATTCCTCTACAGCCCAGCCCTTAGCATATCGTCCTCGATTAATATCCAGATCAGCATCTAATGTGAATGGGCTATCACCTACACCACCATCAAAAGCTCCACCTTTGATCAGATTTTTACCCTGTTGAATGGTTACAGATTGTTCCTTTAGGAAATAAACAAAAGTATGCTTAGTAATATGCAGATCTACACATCGCAAGCTATAGAGAAAACACAACATTACAACTGTTGAGACATGCTATTGAATTCACTCTCAGTAACTCAACAGATTCGTCTTATTTAACGCTATTGAAGGGATAGATTTAAAAATTAATTCTTGCACTTGATTTGATTTTATTCCGTTTTGAAAAAATTTGTGATGAAAGCTTACTGAAATTTAGTCATCTACATCGCAAAATGAGATAATAGTTTGTGATCAACCGATGAGTCATACAGAGGAGAAACTGGATGAAACACCAACAATCCAACCATCTCGAAAGTACCTTATAACAATTTGGTTACTCGATCCAAAGTGATCCAATGTTGACAAGTTTGATCCCCACTGAAGAAAGAAACTATTCAGTAGGTAGATCAGTCTGATTCTTTTTAGCGCTTCTCATTAGTGCTCAACTGCTCATATCATCAGTCGTATATTTCGTTGGTTCAATGAAACTTCTTTGTAGAATGGATCACAACTTGCGATTCTCCTTGGATATTTTCAGTTGAAAGCCATTTAGGTATCAGAACCTATCAGTATCAGTGGTTGATCAGCGGTACCGCAGCTAACAATAGAGAGTGAAGTGGTTGAGTGTGTTGACCACTTCACTTACCTGGGAAGTAGGATCAACCCCGGTGGGTTAGTTGCCGATGAAATTTCTGCACGGATACAAAAGGCTCGATTGGCTTTTGCCAATTTGCGCCACCGATGGCGCCGCCGTGATATCCGTATGTCTATTAACGGTCGCCTGTACTGTACAGCAGTCCGCTCTGTTCTACTGTATGGCTGTGAAACATGGCCATTGAAAGTGGAAGATATAAAAAGGCTTCAGGTGTTTGACCACCGTTGCCTTCGTAGTATAGGACGTATTCCGTGGTGTCACCACGTGAGTAATGCAGAAGTCAGGTATAGAGTTTTAGGGAGTAGAGGTAAATCAGTTGACGAAGTTATGAACCTTCATCGATTGAGATGGTTGGGACGCGTACTACGTATGCCTAGTCACCGATTGCCTCGTCACACAATGTTGGCCGAGGTGGGTCCAGGCTGGAAAAAGGGTCAACACGGCCAGAATAAAACATGGCATCAATGTATGAAGTCTTTGACTGTTGGTTTAAGCCATGTAGGACGATGCAGACTAGGTGGTTGGGATCCGTGGGACAAGAGGAACCAGTGGTTGGAGACTCTAGGTGATATGGCTCAGAACCGATGTCAGTGGCGCAGATGTATACACACATTATCCTCATCTTAACAACGCTATACCGAATCTCACCATTTTGTCATCCCTCTTTTCTTTCTTCGCATGCTTTATACATATTTTTGACTGCATTCACTTATCTTCATCCTTCACCTCACTACCTTTCTACTTGATATACTGACGTGAAGTGTGGCGACTCGGACCGTTACGCAGTAATGCCTGGTCCGATGTTGATAATGATTGGTTGAATTAACAAAGGAAGTCAACTGACTGAGATAAAGTAATACAAAAATTCGATATCACACTTTTTAAGTCTGTATACTGTTTGAAGCTGTAGTTATTTTGTTTCAGCATCTTAACTCTCAACTAATGGGTTATGGAACTGCATCCTGTCCCAACCACCGCTTCGGCAGCCAGATTATATAAATGGCTCTCAAACAACAGACGTGGTTCGAGGCATAGCATAGTAAATCATAAATGATAGTTACATTTTCCCGATTGAGCATACCATATTCTGTGAATGTGAACAAGTTCTCGTTTGATGTAATTCTGAAGGTAGTGCTGTATGTTTACATATACTATCGAGCAACTCTTTCAATTTCTTAAAACACTGACACTATCTTATATGACTTGGTAGCTGAATGTATAGAATGACGGTTCTGATTACTGTTAGATATAAAACACTTACATGAGGTAGCATTTGCATCAATCTAGGAATTTCTTGGCTCAGCATAATATCAACATGTTCAATCAGCTTCTCCTTAAGAGATGGAAAAGCCGAGAAATCTTGTTCATTTAGTAAAGTTTGCATATGACTAAGCTTGGGAAAATCACTAGGAGAGATATGATGTAAACGTGAAATAGAATCGTAAATTTGTTGCAGGTTTTTGATAAGTTCTTGTTTCTTTTTGGCCTTGCCTACAAGCGAAGGCATTTCCTTTTTAAGATACCCAATTATGTAGGCATGTACCTAAGTGAAATTAAAAGAAATATTCATTATTTCATCAGTACTAAAATATGCATGAAAAGATGAGCAATGGCTTCAATCTTGAAATATGAACGAATAGCCCTTGAAACTAATTTGCATACACAAGTGAAATTGAGGGGACCCATAGAAAACGAAGGCAGAAAATAAGCAATATAAACATCAGTATTATCAATTCATTGCTTTTTTAATTTGTAGACTAGTTCATCCAGTTATTCACACTAATTATATCAAACCCATAACTGCCACTTGGATTTAGTAACGAAGTACACAGATTTAAATTACTGCGCAAGACCCTAATGACTGGAATGGTTTTTTCCTGGTTTTAGGAATATCTAAAAGTCAAAGTGGTAGCAATAAGACCAAAGGTACCTACTGTCAAAATATGGTAATTCACATTGAATGGGATGTTTAAAAATGAAATTCTAAGACCTGCTACACCTCAATACAAAAAAGAATGATGCTTACTATCAAAGTTCATCTCTGACTAGAAGTTGTAGAATATACCGTACACCTATACACCACTTGTTGAAGAAACTTACTATCTTTGTTTATAAGTCAAGTCTCCTCTTCTTCTACAATTGCGTTTTGCTGTTTTGTTCACAATTCACTTTGATTTACCAGAACTGTGGAAGAAACGCCACCAGATATAGCTCAATGGAAGAGACTGGAGATGCGTCCTGCACCCCATGAATTAGTGAAAAAGCCCATGAATGATACATATAGCGTATTTGGATAGAATTCGATCATCTACCAAATTTACATCGATATCCGTAAATAATTAAACTCAGGCAGCGAATTCAACGACTTAAGTAGAATTCTACAATTGAACGTACGTTCCGTAACCTCAAACCTGGAACAGATAAACGCCTAACAAAAACATTTTTGTTGCATTATTTAGCTGCTTCAAAACTACTATTAACCTTAACCGAAGAGATCACAAGATAAACCAAATCCAATAGTCAATGATTATAAAAAATGTAGAAGTGGATACGTATAAGCCTATTTCATTTCTCTCATTAAAAAACGTGTCCACAACCTATTTTTATACCAAACAACAATCACAAGATTTTTGAGATTTCTGTTAGTCTGTACATCAGCTGGAAACTTGTAAACTGCAAATGTTTATATTTATGGTTCCAGCCGGTTTCTTTTGTAAACATGGTCGTACTGTTTTATACACTGAAAATCTGAAATATTTTTTAATAAATGTAAAACTTGGTCCTGTGGTAGGATGTAATTCCGTACTATATTTGTTTACTTGATATGCAGCATACAGTGATACAGTGTTATTTGCTTGATGACGTTTCGAGCCTCATTGGTTTAACTTAGGACATTTCGGATCACGGATGCTTATTGTCTTTTTGGTAGGTTCGAACGGGGTTCAATTACAATTGATAATTTAGCCCGACCTGCAGGAAATCTAGGACCTGGGTGCTCTAGCAACCAAGTGAAGCTCTATACACTAGGTTATGAGGAATATCTAACATCTGCCCTAAACATCAGTTCGCGGAATTGGATTCGAAACTATAAGCCATGATTAAAAGTCGGGTGCAGACACCAATAATTCACCACTTTCGCATCAGTGGTTAGCTACGAGTTTAAGGATAGCATCGAGTTTTAAGACAGGAAAGGTATACTTTGATTTGACTGCAGACATCAACAACTCGTAGGCTACTTAAGTAAGGGCTTCTGAAAAAAACTCCGAGAACATACCTACAAACGAAGTGATGAAAGACAGGGATTTGAAACATCTACAATGGCGGATACTTAGATTATTGAGTTACTTAAGTGATAATGTACGAAGACTAAGTCAGTTAGAACGAAATTTTGAGAATTTCTTAAATCACCACTTGGTGGTTCAACTAAGGCAGTCACTGTGATGATAATAATAATAATAATGATAATAACAACATAGTAATAATGCCACACAGCTAATCAGTAGATTCATTGAAACAAATTAACGTAATAACCTCGAACACAAGTGCATCGGTTCAAGTTACTACAATTTACAGTAGGATAGTAGTCATAAGAGGGTAGGAAAAAGCACACGACAGAAAAGAGAATCTTATAAGACGACGGCTAGTGAAAAACTTCAAACCTTAGAAGCGGGGGAATGAATACATTTGCGATGCTTTATCCAATCTTTAAACAAGTCACTAATATGATACCTCAGGACTGGTTTGTAGCTACCTCCAGTTAAGCAATAGGAAGTGAAGTGGTTGACTGATCAGAGTCCAGACGCACTCCATATGGAGCGGCAGTATACACCCACAGTATCTGTAGCTGATTGCGATATGATTATTTGAGTTCAGGTTTGACCGAAAGGGGGAAGACGCTAAGTATCAAAACGGTGATGACTGTACCGGAAGTACAGAAAGAACAGGTAGATAGAAAAAGAGTGATATCAAAGTAGATAAAGTAGTGAAGAGAGAATAAGTAATCTAAAGATAACAGTTACTGTGAATACTCAGGCTTTGGAAAATGCCAAGGAGTGAATACATTTGCACCATTGTGACCGATTTTTCGCCATCTCACTCAGTGTCCTCAACCACTGATTCCTTCCGTTTCGATGACCCCAACCAGGCAATCTACATTTTCCCACATGGCTCAGACCAACAATTAAGGATTTCATTGACTGGTGCCACGCCTTGGTCTGGCCACCCTGAATCCTCTTTCAGTCTAATCCAACTTCCCCTAGCATTGAACGTCGAGGTGAGCAGTGGCTGTGCATGTGCAGTACACGTTCAAGCCATCTCAGCCGATGAAGGTCTACGGTCTCATTAACTGGCTAGTCTGTCTTGCTTAATACCCAGCTTGCTACCTGAAGTTGTCAATGATTAAAGAAGGAAATTCCACCTTCCTGCACGCTCTGGAACATAGGCATACCTACAGGTGACCAACACGCCATATTTCTTGACCTGAAGGCGACATTAGACTCAGCCGACTGTGAGGTGTTGTTGCAATCTGACTGTAAAGCGAGTATCGAGAAAGTATGTAACACTTATCGAAGCTCTACTCCAACACACGAAGCCATGTCAGAGCACATGGAGAGTTATCATGTGAACTGACGAAACTGGTGGTGTTCGCCAGGAATGTTCACTATCACCGTTTCTATTCAACTTTGTCATAGATGTACTAATGGACATAACCTTAGGTACGTCTGACTTCACAGAAATTAACCTACTCCCTGAGGGTCATCTGATTGACTTGGAGGGGGCAGTCAATATTTTTCTGCTGGGTCAAGACGGTGACACAAAAGCAAGGTCTTCTGGATGCGTTGAGCAGAAATCTGAATGTTTGGCATGCGTCACACGCCTCTCAAATGTAAGATGATGCTCCGAGACTGGTCTGTTGCAAGTACCTCCAGTCTAATGATAGGGACTGAAGTGGTGGAATGTGTTGACCACTTCACTTACATGCGGAGTTGCATCAGCCAAACGGGTTGGTTAGTGAAGAAATCTCCGCTCGTTTGGCATTTTCCGAATTGCGTCTCCCGTGGCCACGGCAAGATATCCGACTATCTATCAAAAAACGAGTATACTGCGCTGCAGTCCGTTTCTTCCTGCCATACGGCAGAGACGGCAGTTATAAGTAGAAGACATGAAGCGGATACAGGTTTTTTCATCACGTTTCTGCGCAGCAGTGCTCACGCTTGGTGGAATCACCATGTTAGTAATGTTGAAGTCAGGCAAAGGGTACTTGGCAAGATAGACAAGTAGATTGACGAAGGTATGAACTTTAGTCGACTAAGATAACTTGGATATGTGCTGTGCATGCCGAGTCACCACCTACCTTGACGTAACATGCTAGAATAAGTTGGATTAGGTCGGATGAGGGTTCAGGGTGGCCAACCAAGACGTGGCACTAGTACATGAAGTCCCTAACTGCTGGCCTAAGCCCTGTAAGATGTGGACCTCATGGCTGGGGTCTCCAAGACGATAGGAACCACATGTTGAGGACTCGTGGTGACATGGTTGAAAATCGATCTCAGTGCGTAGGCGTATTCATTCTTTGGCGTCTTCTAAAGCTTGAATAATCGCACTAACCTTTATCTTCTGATTGCTTATACTCTCATAACTTTATTTACCTTAATATCACTTTCATTCTGTCAACTTAGTTTTTGCATACTAGCGCAGCGTGGCAACCTGAACCGATCCACTTGAGTACGAGGTTTCACGCTGATTTTGTCTGATTGTCAGGTTATCATATTACTTATCTAAAATGCAAATATAGTACAAAGTGGCAAGCAAGACAGAGAAGTAGATCAAGAAATTAATGTAACTAGATATTTGGTTCCATAATATAGGCTCAGATAGGATTTGTTACACTTCTGCTACTTTGCTCAAACACAAGACACGAGAAAGCTAAATGACTGTCACATGAGTCACATCTGACAGCATCTCCAGCCACTGAGTTTCATGATCTTGTGTACTTCATTCAGAGTGTCTTCAAATGCCAACAAACGTAAGTACATAGGACTATTATTATATTGTGCTACATCACAAAAAGATCACCTCGGCAATAAGGCTCACCGACTTAAACACCCGGTTCAAACCCTACTCCACTAACTTCGACCAATATGCAGCCACAGTGTTTTATAGGCCGTCCCTTGTTGAGTTACAATATAGCCCTAGAATTAACAAACATTTAATGGTATGGCAGCTACTGGAATTCTATTCATGATACATCCAAACTGACGAAACCTGTTTCATGATAACTTGACTCAATTATTGACAATCTACATGCATCATGACTTTAAGAACTACCTAAGTGATGATTCTTTCGGGGGCTAGTAATCCGACGAAGATAACGATGATTGAGCAGTCGTCAGACATTCTCAGCTGGAAGAGCGATAGTGCACACGCGGAGGACTACCACTCAACTTTCATGAGAAGACTTATAACCAAAAACTCACTTAAATGACGGACATTTCAAGCCGATAGTCAATAAAAAACCGAGGCACTGACTATCAGTCTGATACGCAACACTAAAACTCATACAAGTGGACATTCATCAAGTGTCAATCCTTAAAAAGAGATTAAAAGCAATGTTAAGGTACAGTATGACTCGGCTCTTTAAGCGGAGCCGAAACAACCCATAATTAACATCCTGAGTTCATTTTCACAGTACGTTTCAGCCTTCGATTTGATATACTACTTGTAAATAGACGCAAAGTGCAAGCCTGTTAGTCTTTAGTCTATCCAAAGTGAGTCGCGCGAGAACTTATTAAGGTCTGACAGCCAGATAGCACAGTTCCGCTTCAATCATGTTTCTTTCACTTGGGAAAATTAACGCAAATATTCCGAGCTGTAGTGTTTACCTACTATAATGGCATATGTGAAGTTGTGGTTACCCAATGAAACTCCAGGTAAAAAACAGGATGTCTGATTCATTCCATAGCTGGTAAGCTGTAAGTTTCAGATATTTACACGTTGTTTGGGGCTTTCCATATTTTACAATGGCGAACAACGAACAAAGAACCACTATTTATCTTTCAAATCAAGTAATATTATTTTCTGCGCAAAAGGACTAATGGAGTAACGGGATATCAACCGTCGTACTAACATGTTACCTTAGATTTGATTACCAAAATGCTTACACTATAATTTGAAAATAATACAACTGTTGAATGAGACTGACCTTGGCTAACCTTGCTCGTCGTATCATATCATTCAGTTTTCTCATTGCTGCGTTAGACGGTAAACTTCGAAGGTCTTTGAAAAGATCTTGAGATTCCAACTCAAACAGGCGACGGTTGACATCATATCGTAGCGGTTGATCCCAAAAAGAACCGATAAATACTCTTACAACCTCTGGAGTTCCTAAAACTTTACCAAGACCCCACATTAGTGCTCCATACACGCGCATTAACTGTTGGGAATCAATCATATCGGCTTTGTTCAACACGATGCGAATCTTATCGTCGAAACCTCTAATTGACTCTATTACACGCCGAAACTCATCTGATATGTCCAGTTTGTGTGCGTCAAAAAGCAGGATTATTCTGTCGACATGTTCTGCAAACCATTGAACAACAGCAGTGAAGTCATAACCACGATCTAACCGTTGCTTTTCCCCGCTAAGAATTCCAGGAGTATCAATAATAATTACACTGTCGAGGACTGAATTTTGAAGTTGGCAGCACTGAAAACGATTTAGGAAGTCATTCCCGAATTTAGAGAGTGGACGGAAAGGTTTTTGAGCATCAACAACAAGAGCATTCCCTGGAATAATACCTTCTTCACCGCTCATTACAATACTAAAGCGGTCAGTAGTGGGTTCTGGACCAATATGCATCCCCGGAAACGCAGATCCCAAAAGATATTTAATGAAAGTAGTCTTTCCTGTAGAATACTGGCCTAAGAGAAGAAGCATCGGTTTGCAACTAAATTCCCCAGAGTCAAGGGTTGGGGAGTGGAACTGTGGAAACAAATAAGTCACCTCCAGAGGCTTGAGTCGCTTGTCATAAAGTTGCTTCAAGCCATCCACGACAGTTTCAAAGTTGGAATTATCATCCTTTGGTTTCGTAAACTTCATCCTATAAACTTGCGAGTACCGCAACACTTCAAATCTTTAGCTCAAGCAACGTAACTCAAGATTTAAATGGTGCAAATGTTTGTTGAAGGAATAAGAAGCTTTTGCCAAACTAGCTACCCTAGCTACTATCAGTGGATAACTAGTTCCTGTAGTTATTAAACTGAGTAAAGATAAAGACAATGAAGAAATGGTGGTTCTGATATCCAATATCTTTTTAACGAGCCACCACGTATCCTTCTATAGCTTAGAGAGTATAGGCCCAGGTCTTTGAGTCTATCCTCATATGGTTTTCGTTGCATCCCAACAACCCCTTTTGTGGCTCGTCTCTGTACTTTCTCCAGTAAGTTCGCGCCTCTTTTCAGCTGCGGTGGAGCAAAGTCGTTATGGACCTCTAAGTGGTGCCGTACGTAAGTCTTGTAGAGCTTCAGAAGGAGTTCTGGGGTGAGGGCACCCAGTTGCCTACGCACAAAGTGTGGTACCCCATGTGCTTCTGAGACACCACCTAGGTAATTGGAGCTGGTGTCCAGTTTCTCCGTCACCGTCAGACCCAGGTCCTTTTTTACTGGGATATGGTATAGACGTGAACCACAGAGATGGAAGGATACTTTCTGGGGATCAGGAGTGCGGAAGAACATGAAATGGCACTTATCCAGGTTAACTGCCAGTTCATTATTAGTTCCCCATTCATCTAGTGTTCTGAGGTCCTTCTGTAATGCCACAGATTCCGCCTCGCAAGTTATTGCCCTCCATAACTTGACATCATCAGCGTAGAGGAGAATCGGGGAGCTGATATGTTGCGGCAAGTCATTTACGAAGATTAGGAACGACGGCGGGCTCAAGATTGCTCCTTGTGAGACACCGGATGAGGATGTTCTTCAAGTTGAGTAGACCCTGTTGACTTTCGTGCAGAACTCCCTGTTGTCTAAGTAGTTCTGCAGCCACGATAGCACTTGGCTGCGTATACCTAAGCCAGCTATCTTATGTATTAGGATATGCAGTGAAACGGTGTCAGAGGCTTTGGCGAAGTCCAGAAAAGTTACGTGGACGGGGACCTTGAGATCCCAGCATGCTGTCCAGTGATCATGGACCGTCAGGAGGTTGGAGGCATAGGACCTACCCTTCCGGAAGCCACTTTGAGCGTCACTGAGCGCCCGCTTGGTGTCCGGATACTCTCTGATACGGTGGTCCGTTACACTTTCCATTACTTTTGATATTACTGGTAGAAGTGCTATGGGTCTATAACAGTCGGGATTCTGTCTGTCTCCTACTCTGAAGATGAGAGAAAGGATAGCCGGTTTCCACTCCCGTGGGAGCTTTCGCCCATCCAAGGAGTGCTGGAAGGGGTTGCACAGTGGGCCACCTGGGGCTTGCACATTCTTTCAACACAGATGGGCGAACGTCGTCGCACCCTGGGGATTTTCCTGCGCTTAACTTTAAAAGCTTGTCGAGAACAGCAACTCGGGTTATCTGTATTTCGTGTAACTCAGTAGCATCGGGTAACGTTGGGGGCTGTTCGTGCAATTGGTGTGCGCACTTTCTTGATGGAATGCTGAGCTGTGTCAAATGTGGTGCTCAGCATTTCAGCAATCTCCTGTCCAGAGAGGTTTTATCCGTTCGGACCTTTTATGACACATGCTCCTTGGCTCGTCGATTTTCTTTCACCTGGGGTACCGGTCACCATTTCAGGTATTCCATGCACGACCATGGTTGTGGGTTTTAGTGGACCAGCTGCTTCTCGAGATGTATTTCTTGGCACCCGTGATCGGTCAGGTCTGGCTCTAATGTTGGACAGTCTGTTGATGACCAGGGTGTGTGACAGTAGGAGGAACTCTTCAGCGTCTCTAGTTGAGCCTAGAGCCACTCTCATCAGCGGAGGCTTCCCTGTGGGTGAGTGGGTGCCTTTGTATGGTCGACACAGTTTTGCCTCGAGAACGCCCGGACCTAGCATGGCACAGAGGGAGTCCCACTGCTGCCTGTCAAACTTGTCCTTATGTTCCAGAAGGCTATCATCACAGACGGGAACGTTAAACAGAATGACTGAGCTAGATCGGTCAGTGATGCCAATATTGTTCGATCCTATAGGTGCTTTTTCACGGGTGCCTCGAGTTTTTTCCACCCTGACCCATTCTTTATGTTGTCCACTGGTCGCTGTTTCGGGTGTGGCTCCATGGCTTGAGGTGGATGCAGTTGTCGTTGGTGTGGGCAGTGTTTTGTTCGGCTTAGAACTTCTCAGGTTTTTGGCCTTCAGTGGACCATTGCCAAAATCATCTGGAGAGTGAATATCCTCTGTGACAATGTTTTGGACGGATACCTGCTTTTTGATTACTGGCGATTTGTCGGTTACTCTGAGTAAGCCTGAAGCTAGATGCGGTCCCAGACGGCACCGAGGGCAAATGTACCAAAACCACGTGCACGGGTGGTCCGTCATAAAGCTATAGTACTGATGTGGCACTTCTTTGTCACATCGGCAGTGCACCCATCTGTTGCAGCTGTTGCAGTCAAAGGCAGCATCACTTTTAGTGACAGTGACAGCACACATGTGGCAGTTGTCATCATGTCCATGCGGTTTTCCCAAACGTTTATGCCCTACCTTTGGCGTTTCCGCCTAGTGGTTCTCACTGGGGGATCGGGGTGGGCGCAGGGAGTAGCATGGAGCTCTGGGTTTACTTTGCCGGTAAAGTGACGTCTACAGTGCCGGGAGGACTGGTTGCACGGCTAACCTCAAGTGTTGCAAGCCGTGATTGTGACCGATTGAGAGAGGTGGACTTGGGTGGTGCGTTCGTATCCTCAGTTGCTTTTTTTGTCACGCTTTGGCGTCTCGTAGGTCCAGCCCTAGTAACTACTGAGAATGAGGTGGTCAGTAACTGTGGCGAGATTGTACTCAAAGCATTTCTACCGCTTGCCTTTTTCGGGGTCAGCACACTTTTACCACGCATATTAATATTGATAAACAAATGAAGATAGAAGGAGTAAAGCAACGAAAATGCACAGCAGTAAACAGAAGACTTTCAACCCTAAGTTCAATTGTCTGTTTTTGCGACTCTATTGAAGCTCGAAAACTACAAGTCCTGGACGTGGATGTTAGTGAGATATATTTTGCTGCAGATACAGCAATGCAAGCTATGACGGTTGGTCGAGACAGCTAGACCTACAACACACTTGTCCGTTTGGAGCGTAACAGTGGTGATGAAGTAAGCAGTGGTGTTTTCTGCGGCAACATTGTTGCAGAAACGTTGGATGAGGAGTTGAGAGCTCCTAGTGGATAGTTGTAAATGTGGATTTTGTCAAGATGGATGGGGACGAGCTAAAACACGTCACTATTCAAGGAGCGTGCCAACCTCGAGGTGGTTAAAATATAAAAATCAAGTTTGCTTGAGTAGGCTGCCACACGGTACGTAGGAGTCAAGTCAGAGCTTAAAAGATTCATGCAACGAAGCATGGACCAACTCTGCGTGAAAGGCGTTTCAGAATTTGAAAACCTTCAGGGAGCAGGAGTAGCACCTGATTTCTAACCCGCTACTTTTCAGGCTTAATTTCTGTGCTGGTCCTCTAAAGTTGGTGCCACAGCTAAGGTTCAGTAAGTGACGGAGTAGGTGTCCAGGGTCGTTGCATATATTTTATGCCATGAGTGAGCGGCCGTGAACAGATGGGGGTATTTTGGCACTGACGGCGAGGGCTGAACGTATAATTAACACCCGTCCATCGGTTCCGCCCATTTCTGATTTCACAGAACTAACCGCGGAAAAGTTGCTGCTGTCGCCGTACAGTGTAGGATTACAGAGAGCATGCTGCAGTGATAGGGATGCTCCAAAGAGTAAGCTCCACTGCCACGAGAATGTCATAAGTGCATAAACTGCATTTTGGCTTCGGTCAGAAATTGTAGTAGCCCTAAAACCAAAGTGTTTCGAATTTGTAGATTCTGATTTGAGTGCTTAAAGAATCCTGGTCACCTAGCTTGAGCCGAAAGAACATTACAACCCTAAGTAATTCTTATGCAGTTAGTTACGCTAAGTTAAAGTTCCGGTATCTGATTACTCGGTTAAAAGTTTGCATAGATTTTAGCTTAACTAATAGTGGAGTCACAGATCCAAAGTATTTAGGACACTGCAGACTGCTATCACTTCATCTGTCGGTCTTCCATAGTCGTGGAATAAGGATTAGACCCTTCGTTAATAAATTTTCCTCATGCGAACTTGACAGACGCAGGGACTAGTCACTAATTCTCAGTGCTTCTAGAGTATCTGGGAGTGGAAGACCAAGGAAGAACAAAATATTGGGGCATACCTGATGACATGCACCAAAATCTCGAGATATATGAACCATCCAGCTAGGAGATCGAATGCGAATAACACGATATACACCACAGTGTTGTGGCGTCACATACTTCCCCAAAAGCATTAGCCTAGGGTCTGACCTTGGCAGTTTAACTGGACTCGCTAAGCTGAAGGCACCCGGTCAAGCATCCTCGCCTTTCGCCACGACATCGTGTCACGTTGCACTGCTCGTAATCGACTCTCCAGCCAGTTAGTTGGAACTAATCGGTACCTTGGCACGACCTCGAAAATACACTATTTCATCCGACTACGCTGTTGTGTCTTTCTCGGTCTGGTACTTGCGGGTAAATAACAAGTTCGAATAATTAATGATTGGCCTCTGCGTCTGTCAGGTTTGCGCCAGGACAATTCCTAAAGTGTGCTAAATTGCTTTCATGTTTTCATGCTTTTCTATGTGTCTTCAGTCTCACCAGACCTATGAAATCATGGATGTCAGCGTCAACTTTGAATCTCATTATACATTAGACTATGGATTTCACAGAATTATTTACCGTCATAGTTAATCCCCACTGTAGCAGACTCATGAGGACCCTAAGACGATGCCAGTCGGAAGTAAAAACCTCATGGCTTCTCCACTGATAAAACTCCTCCCACTAAAACAAGTGGCCATGAGCTTTCTGGACATATTCTACAGTGTCGCAAAAACAGTAACGGCAGTTTGAATAGAGGGTCCATCAAGATCCTTGTATTTATCTGGCTTTCAGTTCAGTTCTTGTCGAACCTGAAATGGAA